AGCAGGGTGCCAGAAGCCCTGGTCACCAGCCTCCCTACTTGTCAAGTGGAGCAAGGAGATGTCTAAAGCATGGTGAAGCATGGGCTTTGAAGCCTGGGCTGATTGATCCTGGTGGCCATCCGATGCCGACACCTTGCTGAGCCATCATCCCCTCACTGGCCAAGTGAGTTAGATGATCAATCATCAATGGTGCATCCTCCAGGGTAGCTCTAAGACCACTAGGATCATACACAGTAGCACGGAGCCCAGGGTTATGATGGCTATTTTTAGCATTTTCTCACAGAATTCAGGATCCTGTCAGAACTCTGGCTTTCACAGTGGAAATGCCCTGCCCCATTTTAAAAGTGTCGGCCTGTATCATAGGAAGCCTGGCATCCCCCTTCTGGGTCTGGCCTGACCTGACTTTGCATCCGGAGACCTGTGCTAAGCTCAGTCGGCCCTCTATCCTGCTGCACAGGGAGCAGCTCCCAGCCCCCTCCAGCCTTTCAGGGCTGGGAAGCCACAATTCCAGACACTGAGTCCAGAGGGAGACACCTAGAGTCAGGTTGGGTCCAGAGCTCATTGGCACTAACAAGGCAATTAGATCACAGTGCTGGTTTCCTCTCAACCTGTCCATCCCCCAGGAGAAAGCTTCAGGGGAAAAGAGATCACTGAGTCACAATGACATTTACTTACTCATGGCCCTTGTCTTCTGACTGCCCACTATGTGCAGGAGCCATGCTAGACTGATTGCTTTACAAAAATCCATCCCAGCTTTACATATGAGCAAGTCAAACAGGATGAAACACTGGCTGCATGATCGCTAACAGGTACCAGGACTTGCAAGTCAAAAAGCATAAAGCAGTGATTGCATGATAGCTTACAGACACCAGGCATGCTTCAAGCAGCATTTGAATTTGCATTAATTGACTTATTCCCTGAGAATGAGCTGTTAATGACATCCTTCCATTCTAGAGGAGAAAAAGGCCCAGAGAAGTTCAGCAAATTGTTCATGTAGGTAGCAGGACCAGGCCTGACTCCCAGGGGGGTCTTGGCACTGTTGTGTGTACGTGGTGAGGCTAATAGACGGTGAGGCTGCAGAAGCAGATCTCAGAGCTAAACACGCAATGCACACAGTCACCAAACAAAGAGGTAATAAGTAGCCTCAGAGAGGAACAGATAAAATCATGGGAGTGGACGGAGGAGTTAGCTCCTTGGAGCGGAGTCGGGTAGAGTGGACCTGGAAGGATGAGGATTCAGGCAAAGGGAGGCAAGGAAGTACAGGAAAGGTCATTTCTGATGGAACAGCAGGAGCAAAAGTAGAGAGAGATAAGAGGCTAGCTGGGGGCATGGATTTGTCCAAGAGCCAAACTGGGTTAGGTTGCATGTTAACAGATACTATACAAATCAATGTCTCCCATTCATGTGGTGAGGCAGCTGGGTGGTCTTCTACATGGGATGCCCCTGATCTTTCGGGTGTGTGTTTGTGTGTGGAGAGCCAGGCTTCAATCTGCAGTGAAGAAGCCCCGTTACCTCACAGCATATGAACGAGTGTGCCTGTTGGAAAACATGTAGGAACTGAGGTCTGGGGGTGGGGTGGGGGGATACCCAGGCCCTGATGCTTTTTTTTTTCCTCAAGAAATTTGGTTCAAGGGATCACCACTTTTGAGTTGGGGAGTGACATGACGTAAGGGTCAGAGCTATCCCCACAGCCAGGAATCTGAGCAGTTAAGGAGGGTCCTCTTCCATCAGCCCATGATGACAAATAAGAAATAACCTGTCACACGCAAGCCCTGCAAGCAGCGAGGTGGTGCATGTGGGATCCACTCAGCACTTTTAGACTCCCTTCCTTTCGCCCACTGTTCTCCATCTGTTGCAAAGGGCAAGGCGCAGGGAGGAACATTCCAGTGCTGGGGAATCCAGCGCTCACCAGCCCAGATGGGGCCTCTTGTTCGAGCCACATCACTCCCCGTGTATTGACATCTGTGAAGCCAAGAAGCTGCCAGTTCCACACTCAGTGGGCTTCAGAGAGACTCAAAAGCTTTTGCTCACAGGAGCCTTCTCACAGTCCTCCAGCTAGGCCTCAGGTGGCTATTCTTACCCCATCAGTGTGGACTGCGCACTCCTAAGTCATTTACTCCTCCCACCAGAAGCTGTATTCAGAATTCTGGCTCCTTTACCACTTACTCCTGGGACAAGCTTTGGACTCAGTTTTCCTCATCTGTACATCACTGGTAAGAAGAGCCAAATGGTACACCGCTGGTAAATGGGATTGTGCAGATGAAGCACCAGGCCTGGAATGCAGTTAGCTACTTAATAAACATGGGTTCTCCTCCCTCCCCTTCTCAACACACAGTTTGAATCAGGACTTCTTATGGACTGAGTGACTGCAAGCAAAAAAAAAAAAAAAAAAAATCAGCCCATGGGGCCCAGGGGGTGGGGGGAAAATTAAAAC